GGGCGGGCCGGCCGCGTCGGCGTCCGCATCCACTGTAAGCGCGGCGTCAGCCCTGGCGGCGCCCAGCGGGTTCTCGGCATGCACGGTGTAGGTGCCGCCGTCGCGCGGCCGCGCGGCCTGGATGCGCAGCGCGCTGGCCTCTCCGCTCGCCTCCACACGCACTCGGGGGGCGTCGGGCGAGCCCAGGCGCCGTCCGTCCTTGGCCCAGCTAACGGCCATAGGCGGCGAGCCGCGCACGCGGCAGCGGAAGGTGGCCTCGGCGCCCTCTCGCACGCGGATGGACGTGGGCCGCAGCAGGAAGTGGGGCGCCTGCTCGGCGCATGCGGCGTCAGCGTCCACCTGCAGACCGACGGCCGCGAAGGCCTCGCCGATGGCATTGCGCGCGCGGCATACGTACTGCCCGCTGTCGCCGAGTGCCAGGTCCAAGATGGTGAGGCGGTACAGGTCGCCGTCCTGGGCCAGGCGGAAACGAGCACCCGCCTCCACTGGCTGCCGGTCCTTCTCCCAGCTCACCTGCGGTGTGGGGTTGCCCACGATCTGGCAGCTCAGCGTGGCGTCCTTGCCCACAGACACCACGAAGGCCTTCGGCCGGGTCAGGAAGCGCGGCGCGCCGCTGAATGAGTGATCCATGGTGATGGTGGGGGCGGGGGTGCCTGCGAGTGGGGTGAGGGAAGACCATATTGGGGATGGACCCAGGTGCGCACCAAGCCCCCCACGTTTGGCCCACCCGGCCACCTCGGCCATCCAGTGCCGCCTGGAGAACCCAGCTTAACCCGGGGTGGATGTCTCCATATGGCCCTCTCCCCATTCTGGCCTCATCTCCCCCTTGCAGGTAGCATCACCAGAAGGCACAGTGGTCCAGAAGTGCACATTTGTCCCTTTCTGAGCACTTGGGGTCTGGCTCCACCACCCCCCCAAGAGGGCTCTTCCAAGTGGTGGGAGCATCTCCTCCCTCTCCCCCAGCTCAAGGTCCGGTGGAGCGCCTGTCCCAAACACCACAGGGGCACCAGGCTGGCCCTCACCCCTGTGCAGCGGCTTAGCTGTTGGCCATCAGCCTTCTCCTCACCTGCCAGCCCCTCAGACCTGCCCTGGCCCCCTGTGCCACTCCAGCTTCCTTCAACCATCCTGTTGCCTCCCCACACACTACTGCCTCATGGGGTCTTAAACTCCAATCTGCCTAGTCTCCCCCACTCAAAAAGACCCCTTTTCTGTACTCTGACAGGGCCTGACCATGGGAGGCCCATGGTGGGTGCCTGGCCTATCCCCTCTCTCTGACTATGGCACACCAGCAGTCACTGGTTCTCTGCCTGGCCAGGCTCTCCTCTGAGCCCTCTGCCTGTCGTGTCCCCTCTGCCCCTGCTCTTCCTCCTCTGGGCCACTCCCCTGGCCCCAAGCCTCTGGGCTCCACCTCTGGCTGTGTGCCTGGCAGCCCTCCTCCCAGGCAGTGCCCAAGACACGGAGCCCTGTGCACAGGGTCTGTCCTGCCTGCAGCTGCCCTGCGCTGGGGCACACCTCGCCTCTCCTGGGGTCCCCCAACTCCCCTCAACCCCTGAGGGGGGATGCTCATCAATGAGCAGGGAAAGAATGGAAACTGCAGCCAGCTGGGCTCCTCCCAACAACACAAGTGCCCCCAGCCCACCGGCTGCCCGTGCCCCCTCGCCGTGAGCATCTGTCTCCTCTCGAAGGGCACAGTGGGGAGGGGCTGGGCAGCACAGTCAGCAGAGTGCCTGGGGAGGACAGCCAGAGAATCCCCCCAGGAAGAGCCAGGGACCTCCAGGCTGAGAACGGCTGGGCCGGCTAGCCAGGCCCAATCTGGGAGGCTGCGGGTGTCCTGGTCACTCTGCGGTTCTCCGCTATGGCTCCTTCGGCTGGGCACCATCAATGCCAAAGGCCCCAGGCTGACTCTGTCCTCTGCCCAGCCTGGGTTGGCCACTCTGGCCCCCAGCACAGGTGGGTGAGGTGAGACTGGGCCCTGCCTACATGGGTCTCTTTTAAGAACAGCAGGCACAGTGGGCCCCCGGGCCCTAGGCTGGCCCCAAGCACCTTAACTCCCTCCACCCTGGGGCCAGGCCTCCAGCCTGTGGGCTCAGGCTGCCCATCATGGGATAGCGGGGCCTGTGTTCCCAGCCCTCCCGCTCCCAGTCCTGTGATTCAGGACCTAATCTCTTTAGTCCTCCTCCACCCGCCAGGCTCAGCCCAGACCAGCCTGCTGACTCACTGTGCCGTCAGCACCTCTGCCCCACCCCGCCCCGTCCCCCCCACGGCCTGGCTGGCTCTGGGCCTGGGGCGGGAAGGGACCTGAGCCCTGCCCCCCTGGGCACCCTACTGGGCCTCCGCACCCCTCTGTGGAAGGGTCACTTTAACACCAGGTCTCTGGGGACCCTGAGCCCTGAGCTCTTTCCAATGCCCCTCCCAAATCACATGGTTGGTCTGTGGGTTCCTTGAAGCAGGACGCAGCATCCTCCCCCTCCACACCCGGTGCAGGTGTGGGAGATGGCTGCTCCGAGCTCGTGAGCAGGCACCTGCGGGGACAGGGGGCCACCTGCACAGCTGGGTGGCCTCTGGGGGCCAGGAGGACAGGGAAGGGGAGGGAGCTTTCATCACTGCACGAGTTTGGGAGAACTGGCCCCAGCCCTCGGCAGGTGCACAGGCTGCCCCCTGGCCTGGCAAGGGTGGGCAGAGGCTCGGAGATGGTTCTAGGCTGCCGGAGACTGTGCCAAGCCCTGTCTGCCTGCCCTACCCTCGATGCGGCAGACCCCATGGGGTCCGAGGGGGCTCACCCAGCCACGACAGCCCCAGAGTGTGCCCCACGGCAGCCCCGCCAGGCAAGCTTCCCCACAGGCCGGCAGAGCCCAGGAGCCCGAGGACTCAGGATCCCCCCTCCTTCAGGCCGAGTCTGGGAGGGGATCCCCCAAGGCCCCTCTGGGACAGGGACACCTACAGCGGCCTCCTTCCCCCCCCCCGCCACGTCGGGGTCTGGGCCTGCGGGAGCTACAGCCACGTGGACAGAAACAGGAGCTCAGTGGGGGAGACTCAGCCAGGACCTCAGCCCCAGCCTCCCAGGAAAGGAAGCCCCTTCCTCCCCCAGATGACCACCCCGGAGCGCGGCTCCCTGCGGACCCCACTCTGGCTCCTCGGTCTCTCGGAGGCCCCTTGGCACTGGCAAGAGCCTCGGTCCATCTGAGACCCTCCCACCTGGGGTCATGCCCCCAAGCCAGAAGCCCCGCCCACGCCCCCCACTCTTGCTTTTCCAGAACTCGGCCACCCTCGGGTCCTCATGGGGCCCTGGGAAGTAGGAAGTGGCTTGCAGCCTGACAGCAGAACCTCAGCCTCCTCCAGCCCCCCACCGTGCCCCTCCTGGAGCCCCATCTCCCTGCCACCCCCTCCACCCGCCCCCCGGTTGCCCCTAGGCCATTCCAGAAAGACTTCCAAGCCAAGGGCAGCCCTGGAGCCTGTGTCTCCCCTCGGACCCCGGGGCCCCGGCTTCCCGCACTCCAGGGGAAATTCTTTCCTGGAGTCAGGTGTCGCTGCCCCTCTGGCTGTCCCCTCCGCTGAGCCAATAGGCCCAAAATAGCCCCAGCTGTCAGCGGGCATCCATCTCAGCAGAGCTGGGGGCAGGGCCGGCCGGACCCCCAGGCGGCCCTCGGAGCGGGGCACCGAGCAAAAAGGTGGATGCATGCACGCCGGACCTCCTGCCCCGCGGCTCCCCCCGCCCCGGCAGGAGGGACCAGCTCAGCCCCTCAGTGGACCAGGGGCTGGAGTCCAGGCCCCCAAGCCGGGAGCAGCACCGCCTGGCTGGACCCCCAGGACCCTCCATCCCCTAGAGCCATGACCTTCAGCCGAGCGGCCCTCAGGGGACACAGGACGGCCCCCCACCCCTTCCTGCTCTCTGCCTCCTCACCTGTCTCTATGCAGGGCTCCAGGCGGGTACCCAGGCCGGGGCCTCAGACAGTGGGGCAGGGGCAGCCGGGTCTCACCTCCCTTCTGTGGCCCAGGACACAGCAGCCTGCACTCCAGCCGGTCCTCAGACTGGACAGGGACGAAAGGACGGCAACGCTGTCAGCTGGAGAAGGCTGGGCCCGCCCCCCACCCCGCCCCCACAGCTCCTGCCAGCCCAGCCCAGCTCCAAAATAGCCCGGTGTCAGTGCCCAGGATTAGGTTTCAGCCCTGGCCCCAGTAAGGCAAAGGGCAGAGGCTCAGGGCCGCTGGGGGAGGGGGAGGCCTGTGTCCAGCGATGACGTGGGCAGGGCGGAGACCCCAGCTGGTCAGGACCCCTCCCCAGACCAGCATCCTGGAGTGCAGGGCGGGAAGTAGCCCGGGAAACCCGGGACCACCTAGAGGTGACCCAGAATACCCCCAGGGGACCAGGACCACCCCAAAAGGACCGGCCACCTGACAGTCCTGCAGCCTTGGTGGAGGCGGGCAGCCAGGAGCCTACCGCAGGTGCCTGGGGTCAGCCTGCTCCACCCCGACCACCTATGACCCAGGCGGGTCCTTTATCCCTGGTTCCCCCTGCAGCCCCTGGCCTGGCTTGGTATCTGTGGCACTTTAAATGGGAGTGGAGGGTCCCTGAGACTCCGGCCTGGGACCGTCACTGTCCAGGGACCCGGCCCCGGGGCTGGGCAGGCAGGATGCTGCTTCATGCCCCAGGAGGACTGCCCCAGCCCAGGGACAAGCATGGACAGGACACCAGGCCCACCCAGGGGGCCTACCCAGGAGCCACAGGGGCTGCCGGGTGGTAGTACTGGGGCCTCTCCCAGGAAAGGGCCAACCCCCCGTCCCCAGGGGCCCAGGTCTGAAAGAGGTGCCCTCCCTGCAGAGGCCCCAATCTCAGGGCAGGAGCCAGGGCCCACGGCATGCCCCCAGGACCTGTGTGACCCTAGGGGCTCTCCTGCAAGTGTGTCCACTGGCTGACCCCCACCAGAGTGGAGTGCTGCTCTGCACCCCAGCTTCACCCTCGCCCCTGAGCCAGCACCAGGGCGTCTGGCACCCCCAGCCCAGAGTCCAACCCCTCCCCTCACCCCACCTACACCCTCTGCACCCAGGCCTGTATCCACCGGGGAAACCAAGGCTCTGAGCACAGACCAGAATCCCAGGTAGCCACTGTCTTAGCTTGGGCTGCAGGACTCTGAGGTAGCCGGTCCCCTGGGGGTCAGCCCTGGATCCCCTGGGAGGTGCCAATGTCTGAGTCACCTCAGCCGCCGTAACAAATACCACAGACTGGGGGCTTAAACGCAGACGTATATTGTTCACAGTTCTGGAGGCTGCAAGTCCCAGATGAAGGTGTCGGCAGTTTCTGTGTCTGCTGAGAGCTCTGCCTGTTCACAGACGGCCACCTTCATGGTGTCCTCACCCAGTGGAGAGAGCTCTGTGTCCTCTCTTCTTATAAGGACACTGACCCACCAGGGGGCCCCACTCTCCTCACCTCCCATAGGCCCCAGCTCAGCACCTCACACTGGGGGTCAGGGATTCTGGGAGGACCTGACCATCCGGCCTGTCGCACCCACTGAGGAAGAGAACACTGGAAGGAGAGCCCAGCCCCTGGGAGTCGGGCAGGGGACCCACAGCTGGTGCACATGCGTGGGCCACGTGTGTGTGTGTATGCATCTGTGCCTGCTGCACGCCCACCTGGGACCGGGCTGTGGGAGGCCCGAGGCCTCCCACGTCCACGCTGGCCGGCTCCCTACAGGACGCCCTGGTGGAAGTGAGGCCCAAACGCCCTCTCTCACCTGACTGTTGGCTCCAACAGAGGCAGCGAGGCCGAGCAGAGTGAGGGCGAAGGCAGAGAGGCTCAAGGAGGCTGCGCCATGGCCCCACCGGCCCAGCCCCACCCCGGGCCCGCTGGCCCCTGGCCACCCTCACCGCCACCTCCCCTGCGGTGGCCCCGAGCACCACGGCCCACCCACCAGCTGGTCTGGAGGGTCTCTACCTTTTCCTCCTTATCGTCTCACCACCTATCTGTGCAAGACAGCAGGACACTCATCCTACAGGGAGCCCCGGGGCCACTGGTGCCGGTCAGGCCAGCAGAGGGAGTTCCCGCTGGATCCTCTGCAGAGAGAACTTCCGCCCCACCCCCCCCACCCCCCCACCCCGTCTGGACGCTCAGGGGCCAAGCTGTGTAAGAGCTGAGGGAGAATCCTCGCTGCCATGACCATTTTCACAGGGAGGCCAGGGCCCCTGACCTCCTGGGAGATGCAGTCACAGCAGGTGTGACTCCAGGTTAAACACACATCCCATCCTCCCTGTCACCCACCCTCCATCCTCGCCCTCCTCCTCCCTCCATCCTCCTCCCTGTCCCGCACCCTCCATCCTCGCCCTCCTCCTCCTCACCCATCCTCCTCCCCTGTCCCCCACCCTCCATCCTTGCCCTCCTCCTCCCCCCATCCTCCTCCCTGTCCCGCACCCTCCGTCCTCGCCCTCCTCCTCCTTCCATCCTCCTCCCTGTCCTCCACCCTCCATCCTCGCCCTCCTCCTCCTCACCCATCCTCCTCCCCTGTCCCCCACCCTCCATCCTCGCCCTCCTCCTCCCCTGTCCTCCTCCCTGTCCTCCATCCTTCTCCCGGCCTTGGCCACCCTAGGAGCCGCCTTACTCTGTCTGCCTGGGATGCATCCCTGATCGCCCACTGAGGCCCACGACCCAGGACATCACTGAGCCCTCGCAGGACGTCAGCTCCCCTGAGTGTTTCCCATCCTGGAGGAGAGTTCCCGGTGCTCTAACCACTGGTGTTTTTTGACTGTCCACACTGCCGCTGCACCCCGTGGAATGTGACGTCCACCCTCATGGGCCGTGGCAGGGACAGAAGCCCCTCACCCACCTGGTCGTCGTGCAGTGAGCGTCTGTCCATCTGGAGAGACTCTTGTGCTTCCAGGGTCCCGGGGCCCTGACTGCTCTCTCCACCAGGCAGAGACCCTCAGACCAACCCTCCCATGAGTAGAGAAGTGGATGCAAAGCCACGTGATCATGTACAAGTCCTGTGAGCCTGCAGTTTCCTGGCATTTGTAAAGATGAAGTTGTGTATTCTGAGGGAAAAGAGGGTTTTGATTCCCTTCTGAGCATTTCAAAGGGAGGATATTTATGATGCTCCACCAGCTTGTTGCAGATGTAGCAAATGCCGCTCCCATAAAGAAAACAAGATGCGTGTTAACACTTGCCAGGGTTCCATGTCAATATCTTATTGGATCTCAAAAATGGTGTTTTTCCTTTCCCAGCAGAGGGACCTGAGGCTCAGAGAAGTTAGAACGATTTGCTTAAGTTTACACAACTGACAGTGCTTAACCGAGCCTCTCCTGAGAATAAATGACAAACAGCCGTAAGACCAGGGAGAATGACAACTCAGTGCATCATCACAGCCTGCACGAAATCCTGGACTGAAAGGGGACAATAATGGGAAAACTGGGCAATACAAATGAAGTCTGGAGTTCAGTTTTGAAAAAGTGTGTAAGTGGTTAAAAATCCCTGGGGGGACACAAAGGCAAAATGTCTGAAGACAGCGGACCAGATGAGACTCCTGCACTTGTGCAAGTGGATGGAAGGGTTTCTAACCACACTGTTGCTTTAATAAAGAAAATTAGGAAAAAACATAAGTGCCCACAGATATTTTAAAGGATGAAGAAATGACTGTGTCACTGGGCAGTGAGTGTTACAATGAATCTTAACAATGAACTGGAATTCTATCCACAGAGTTAACTCTAAAAAACATCGTGTCAGTCAGTCAAGTCAGTGATCAAATGAAAAACAACAACCCGAAGTCAGGGCTCCTGTTCCCGGCCCCTCTGATTCCCGGTGCCCCCACCACCTCCCGCAGCTGCAGAGGCTCAGCCTCAGCAGGACGCCAAGGGGAGGCAGGTGTGGGGCCTGAGAGGCGCTGAGGCCGGAGCTCAGGGAGGAAGGAAGAATGTGCCAGAAGGACAAGGAAGGAGGCCTTGCCGGGCAGGACAGACTGGCTGAGGACGGCAGGGCTGCAGAGGCCCCTTGGGTCCTGGCATCTGCCTGCAGGGCCTTCGGGACCCCGTGCTCAGAAGTGCAGACCCCAAACACAGCCCAGGACGTCCTCCCCAGGACAGAGCTGGAAGGGGGCCCTCGGCCAGGCAGTGAAGGCCCAGGAGGAGGGGAGGGACCCGAGGGACATCCTGGGCTGACCACCGACTACCAGTGATGCAGGCAGCGGGAGAGCGAGTGGCCTGACCTGGCTCTGACTGGGTGACAGCCTCACCCACCAGGCGGCAGTGGGGGCACTGAGAAAGGGGAGCTGGCTCTGGGAGTGCTGCGCTGGACAGGCCTCTGGGAGGAGGTGTCGTGGGCCCTGGGTGCAGGGAGAGCTGGGGCCATAGGGACAAGGCGGGAGCCCAGGGGTCATGCACGCCCAGAGGATGGAGACCCAATGGGGGGTTTACCAGCACCCCGCTTGTCTCCCCGTCTGCATGGCAGCCATCTCCTCTTGGATGTGAGCCCACGCCCCACCCAGGATGGGAGTTGTCCCCCACAGTGTGGACCTGGGGTACTGTGAGTCCATCTCCAGGCCTGAGCTCAGGGTCCCCACCAGGACCACAGCAAGCCCCAAGGTGGGCTGTTTTCTCCAGTCCAGAACCCCCAACTCCCAGGGGTCAGTCACACCTGGGGAACACCACAGGGGAGGCTGCCATGGAAATTAATAAAGAAACCTCAACTAAACTGGGCTGGACGGCCTGCAAGGGGCACTCTCACCCCCATCACACACTGTCAATGACACCAAACAGGAAGAGACAAAGGCTTCAGGAAGTACAACCATTTTATTACTGAAGGAAGATTTCTCTCCTGGCCCAGCAACAGCCCAGCCAATGAGAAATGCTGCAGCTCAGCCAATGAGAAAGGCTGCAGTCAGCCAATGAGAAATGACACAGCTCAGCCAATGAGAAATGCCACAGCCCAGCGCATCAGAAATG